TTGTCAGACAGGGAACTAGAAAGGCGAGTTGTTTGTATACCTCCCTCGGTGGTGTGAGCAGCCGGCCGGTAAATGGGGAAGGAGCTGAAGGTTTAGAGGCTGGATGCACCAACAATCCAGTTACCAGTTTTTCAGATACTAGTGAGAAGTTTTCTTCCTGGGTTTTTCCTTTTCTTTAGGAAATACTATTTTAAAATTATTTCACTAGGAAGTGCTAACAGATCTTCTCTGTTAGCCCTTTTGATAATTCTCAAGAATGTTTTTCTTCACTGCTCAGTGTTTTAGTTGGTATAACACTTGGATAGTTGATTGAATGGTTGATACGCAGATTTTTTGTTTTATGTTATATGTCAATATACACTATTCTCATGTGTAAGATACACAGAATAATATCCTTTAGAACAGTTATGCACAAACAGGCAATATTGGATTGATTCATCGGATCCGAGGATGTGATTGGAGAAAAATGTAGGACTAGGTCTGCCGGGTGAGGGAACCGGAAGTTCTGTCAACACAGTGAACACACATCTGGTTTGAAGAGCAGCTGGGACATCTAGAACATCGGCAGCGGTGCCTCTGAGGTGTGGTGGAGCTATTTGACATGAGTTTAGGTCTGTGCAAGAAGGGTGCCCCCCGGGGCTTCGGGATTTCGCTGCATGGTTTTGTCAGCTATTCTTATTTTTTTCCTAGGCCCTTTGCGTATTACTCCTTGAGTCGGTGATCAGATGAAAGGGACAGTAGGCATAACCACCAGCCAAAGTCCTCTTGTAGCCTAGACAGCAGAGGGGCACAGTATTGGAGGCTTTAGAACTGCAGCTTTGTTCGGATCATTCTAGGTGTTTCTGGGCTCTTCTTCAGATGGGCCTCCTCCTCAGGAGTCCGCCCCTCACAGCATCTGAGATTCTCTTCTGTCCCACGATGCAAGGAAGACCAAGGAAGACGTCCTCTTTTATTCTGTAGAACCCTTTATCATCGTGGAAATTGGGCCCACCTGCCTCAAAGTCTTTGTAATACTTTCTGCCAAAATTGCACAGTCCAGTGCCTTTCAGTTGGATCACTCGGATCACTTCATAAGCACTGTCAACCACCTGTTCCACAAATGAAGTTTTTAAGATTCAGAAGTTAAAGAAAAAACAAAAAAGACCAGAATTCAAATATTAAGAATGTGTGTTGTTACCATTCTGGAGATTGGTGTCCAAGCAGTGAAATACTCGCTGTAATTCCCCCCTTCCTCACCCCCCAGGGTGGTAGACAAAGGCCATTACCGTTTGCCATCTTGAAGTTGTGGGTTTTTATCAGTGACTTTTGTCGTGAACGTGGATCTGTCACAGAAGACCATTTTAGCTCTGTCGTCTGCTTGGTTGGGTCTTCTCTAGGAGCTTCTGTCAATTTCATAGTATCTTTCATGTCACACATAACCTTTTTATTTGTAAAAGGTCAGAGAAAGGATTTCCCATTTCTTTCTACTAGGTAGACTTAAAAAAAGGGCCTGGCCTCTTTCTGGCTCTTTTTCTTCCTCTCACCGTGCCCATTGATTGGCCCGGTAGCCCAGAAGTCCATAGACCAGCAATCCAGATAGACACAGAAGACCCCTGATCCTGTGTAAAGCCTCACCTCTGGAAAATTATTTGTTCTAAATAAAGCAGAACATTTCTGTTTTCATTACTCACATTCTTACTTTGGGAAAGTTGGAGATACTTCATTCTTTTACAGAATGTATTTATCTTATTTTCAAGTGTTTAAAGATGGAGTTTGTTCTTCTGCAGTGATCTGTTCCTTACTGAGATTTGAAAGGAAATGTTTCAGTTTAAAAACTCATGAAAAAAAATTCCTTTCCATTTGCAATATGGCATGTTACCTTTTACCATTTTATTTAGAATATGTTTATCATAGTTATAGGAAAATTTAGCTACTATTGGCCACAATAACAGGCCAAAGGATTCTGTGAACTTTGTATTGGTAATTTAGTTCCTTACAAAGACAAATAATTGGTCCAATGTAGTCACTGTTTTTTTAATTACAAGGAAGTAATTATACTGCTCTAATTTAATGTAGATTTTGTGCCTTCTTTGCTTCCTTCTAAAACATGTAATGTGTATGTTGAATTCTTACTGAATTGCTAGTGCTAGCTTTTGTAAGCCATCACTGCTTTTGGAGACCATACCTTCTATTTCACTCAGAGACTAAGATTTTTGAAGACCAGGCAACAAAAAGGACAGTGGCTACAATTGACAAGAACTGAATTGTAGATGTTGAGTCTGGAAGAGGAAGAGAGCTGTGAAAGCTGAAGTAGGGCTTTCAAAAGTTGGGGAGCTTCAAGAATTTCCATGAAATGCGTTCTTAGAATTAATTGCCTCACTGCCCTTTCTGTGATGTTCCATCTGCTATAGTTTTGTTTTTTAATTTATGGAAACTGGAGAAAGTAAATAGTTGAGTTAATAAAGTATCATGTTTCTTTTGATGTCTAAATAAAATTTGGGGTTGCATATGCTCGTCTCCTCACCTCCATGGCAATATTTTGTTAAAAAAACAGAACAACAACAACCAAAACCAAAAACGAAACCCACAAAACTCCAAATTTGGGATTTGAACATTGTGGCAAAGTCCTTTGAAAAGCGTCTGAAATGCTTGCTTTATTCAGTTAAGAATTTAAACATTTATAGTAGGCCATTTATGGGTGTTCCCTTTGCCCCCGAAAACAACCCAGACTTATTGACAACTTCCACAGTCTTGGAAAGACCTGCCAAGCTGCATAAACTTGGCCAAGGGGGAAAATGCACATGACATTTCCCCAAATTTCTGATTTCTAGTGCCTTGGCACTGTGCTGTTTTTATTCCTACTTTACAAATCCTCTACTGGCATGAGAAAATGAAGTAGATGGGAGGAGAGATTAATGGATGTTTTAAGTGTCCTCAGTTAGCATCTCTCCTGTCTTTAACAGATGAGGTGCTGAGGAGAGGCCGAGGTTGAAGCCTTCTCTCTCTCCCTTGCCCTGTTCTCTCTCTTCCTCTTAGTGAGCTGCGTTACCAAGACATATTCATACAAGCACCCCCCTGTGGCTTTTCCGTGTCTCACTGACAACCACAGCGGGTAGCATGGCCCACAATTTGGCTGACTTGAGTTTCAAAACCAGAGTTATCATTGACAACATGATTTAACTTATTTTTTTATTTTTTAACTAATTTTTATTTATCAGCTGGAGGGAGGAAACTACTGTAAAATCGTGTCTCAGTTATTGCCTAAGATGGTGATAATACTTCCTGGTTTTTCTAAATGAGTTCTTCTGGGTTATTGCACAGTGGCTTGCCTCGCCGAAGCCGACCATATGCCCTAGCCTCTCCAGACATATCAGAAGTATATGGCAAAAAGTAGAAATGCTGGGTTGACTTCCCCATTTCGTAGTTGAGATGGTCAGCTGTGGGTATGTTCATCTGTCCAAAAGTGTTTGTAAAACACTTTTGAAAAACATTTGTGGTGCTCTTTCCTTTTGAACGTTTGTGGTACTCCTTCTAAAACCGCATCTTAAAATCCTATTATAAAAAATCCTATTTGTTTTGAAAAGTAAATGCCATTATCGTTGGTGAAATTATTACTTGACCTCTGCTTATTTATTGCATAGTAATAATGTGTAACAGAATAACTTTATTGTTACTGTTTGATCACGGCTAACCCCTCCAGCTGAAAAGGTGAGCTTCCTGTAAGTAGTGATGTGGTGGTCTCATTCACCTGCCACTTGGGCACTCAGTACATGTTGGAGGAGTAATTGTTTTGTTTTTGTTTTTAAAGATTTTATTTATTTATTTGAGAGAGAAGGAGAGCACAGGGTAGGGGAAGGGACAGAGAGAGAAGCAGACTCCCTGCTGAGCCGGGAGCCCAATGCAGGGCTCGATCCCAGGACCCTAAGATCATGACCTGAGCCGAAGGCAGATGCTTAACCCACTGAGCCACCCAGGTGCCCTGGAATGACTTAAAAAATATATATATTTTATTTATTTATTTTTCAGAGAGAGTGTGCGGGCACGCGCACACCGCTGCGTTGGGGCAGGAGGGCAAGGTCAGAGGGAGAGGGAGAGGGAGAAGCAGACTCTATGCTGAGCAGGGAGCCCCTTTTGGAACTTGATCCCAGAACCCTGGGATCATGACCTGAGCTGAAGGCAGACGCTTAACCAACTGAGCCACGCAGGTGCCCCATATTAGCTTTAATGTTTGCTTCCAAAGAAAGGCGAATTTGCCTAAACTTCGTAAATTTCAGTCGTAATAGTGGGATAGTCACAATTTATAACGTTCAGTTATTTGTAAGATATAGTTTGCTTTCTACTGTGGTGCCATTTTAGAGGGGAAATTTGTTAAAAAAAGAAAAAGTACAATTACAGTGTTGTCATTTATACACTCCGTTTTTGGAGTATGAAAGCAGTGCCTTCTTAAATCTGATAATAAGTAATAGCCCCAGAAAACCAGTGTTTAGAATAAATTTGGCTGTTTGCTTCCTTTAAAATCACATCATTCAGCCAAGTTTCTTACATTGTTTGGAATGAGGAGATACCAGGAACTGTGATCCTGTTACTCTCAAATACTTAGCAGCTGATGTTTACTAGTTGCTCGGTGTGTCTCGACCGTATACTGGGTTTATTCCTGTTGCACGGATGGCGAAACTGAAGCTCAGTAAAGTTAGGCCCCCTGACCAAATGCACAGAGCTGGCCAGAAATGGAAATGGAATGTCCGCCCAGGCAGCGGGACTTCAGCTCTGCTCCCCCAGCACATCTCTGTCCTGCTGCAGCCTCGTTTCCCGCCTGTGTGGCCAGCCTGCTCTGAGCTGGAGTCACTGTAGAGGTTGTGGCCCCAAGTGAACAGGACTGGGGTGAAAGAAGGGCAGTGAACGTGAGGCTGTGGGCATGCTGGCAGCTCAGAAACACCTTGGGGTTCGTGTAGTGAGCTGTCCTGACACAGAGTTTTAAAATGACATAGTCTCAAATGTAACCTTCTCAGCAAAGGCTACGGATGGCCCCCAAACTGGGGGAGTTATCAGAGGATGAGGTGGAAATGCTTCCGGGTTCTTCGGGACGGTAAGGTCAGAATCTGATCGCAGCATCTGTCGCACACGGCATTTGTTACGAAATTCCTTCTTTCTCTGGTCAGCTCATCCGTTTCATCCCCGTCAAGAGTCATGGGTGTGAATAGATAGGTTAAACTAAACCATAATTGGTAAGTTTGTTCAGTGTAACATATTGGGTGCAGGGAGGTGGGAGATTAAATATTCAAAAATTGGATAGTGGTTGGATAACCACTGTATCTCATTTAATGGTAAAACATAGAAATCATCTTTATACTCTCATCTCACTTTGTAAGAGCATACAGTGTTCGAAGTCAGTGAGACCATGGAGCATAACCAATCCTCGTTATTTTCCGGGTGAAGAAACTGAGGCTCAGTCTATGCCGTTTGCCTAAGATCACACAGCACAGAGCTGACGATGACTGGAGGCTTCCTGAGTCTTCTGCTGTGTCTGTGTGTATAGTTACTGTTTTGAAGTGAGTCCTGTTCCTCACTATTAAGCTTAGACTCGGTTACTCTTGTATCCATATTTGGTGTATGTGCTGTGAATGTCAACACCGTGGTGTATTTTCGGGCCAGTGGGAGTATCTTAGAGGAATTGAACATATAGTAAACATTTGCTTTGTGCCGGGCAGGCTTTACTCTCAGCCATCACTGTTAATGCTACGAGAACTGATAGGGTCATGGCTGTCCTCACCATCAACCCCATTCTAGAGGTTAGAAGGCCTGAGTTGCTCAGAGCTTAAGCATACTATTCAAGTGGTGGATCGAGGTTTCAAATTCTAACTTTCAAGTATTGTCTGTTTCACAGCAAGGAAAAGGAGGTTGCCACTTTCCCTGCCAACTCTTGACCAGTTGATTGCAGTGATGGGAGCACTCAGTGCAGGATCCAGAAATGGCCTCTGGGCTCAGGTGGGAAGGAGCAATGTTTGCTGAGGTCTGCCTCGGTCTCAGGTTGGGGTCCGAGGTGATACATGCAACATAGATGTTCCCAGACTGTTTCTCCTAACATAACAATCTGATTCTTGGCTTCACAGGGTCACAGACTCAATTTTAAGCTTACATGGAAAGGTGGAGATAGGGTTTGTGATTCGGCTCTGGAAAAGCAACTCCTGTTCATCCAGTTCACGGAACACTGTTGTATAGAAGTACTAGTGCTCATTCTAATTTGCCTCTCTGTTCTTGGGTATGCTCACATGTATTTATTCAGGAAGGATTAATTCTATAAGTACCTTATCTCCTATTTTATTTTGACCGTAACGATCTCCAGTTATAGGTCATTACGATTTCTGGCTTCATCCTACTTTTGCTATTTCCCCTGTCAAGAGCAGGTAGCCCCGATGTACTACTACTACTACTACTACTTCTTTTTTTTTTTTAGATTTTATTTATTTATTTGACAGACAGAGATCACAAGTAGGCAGAGGGAGAGGGGGAAGCAGGCTCCCTGCTGAGCAGAGAGCGCGATGTGGGCCTCGATCCCAGGACCCTGGGATCAGGACTGGAGCCAAAGGCAGAGGCTTTAACCCACTGAGCCACCCAGGCACACCTACCCCCCCACCGCCCCCCACCCCCATGTAGTTCTTATGGTAATGAGGACTTAACATTAGAGCTCTGGAGATAGAAATTAGTTCATTAAGATTGGATGTGTCAGATGCAACTTACTTCAGGCTAGAAACAACAATGTCTTCAAAACTCAGATAATTATTTGCAAGAATTCATTCTCTAGAGTTTCAATATCCAGAGGAATGCTGTTTATTTGCAAAACAGTGAATGTCTCAAATGTTCACTTGTGATTGTTCATTTTTCATTTCTGTCTTTTGACTTCTCTTCACATCCGCAAAGCTATGTTCCCAGTGTCACATACTAGGCTGCAGTCTGTCTTCTCTCTGTCCTCTTCCTCTGACTTTCTTTCTCACTTGTACTGTCATTTTTTTTTTTTCACAATATTTGGGTTGTGAGTCTCAAATACATTAAAAGCTCCTGCAGAAGACTCTTCACACTCAGAGTATGAGTCATATTACTCTTGTTTGTAGCAGACTGATTATTTTGAATGGCTTTTTATTTGGTTGGGGGGCTCCTAATTGTTGACTTGTAAACTTGGGCTTGGTGGTGTTTCCTGCTCCTCGTTTTTGCTAACATCTTGGTTGCTGGCTTGGGGTGGAGGGCATCTCTGCCGTTCACCACCTCTGCTGGACTTCGTCTAGGATTTGGGATGCCTGGATTTTGTCTAGGTTTGCTTGGCCTGATGTCTTTCTTCCTTCTCATGCTGGGACACTCAGTTGGAAGCAAGGATGTTTTTGATGCCTAAAAATGAGTCCTCTTGAGGAAGCTGCAATAACTCAAGGTTGTGCCAAAGAAGGAAGATCAGATCAAGCTTTTCAAAAATTGCATCATTTTTATAATAACTGACATGCCCACACGGAAAAGCCAGGGGCGAAAAGATTACGTTCATCGTGGGTGAACAAGCAAAACTTATACAGTCGTATTAAGAGTTCCCCTGTTGCGGAGTAGTCCTGCTTCAAGCATTTGTCCAAGCAGCAGCCCTTAGGGAGCTCCTGCTGCTTGCCAGGTGCCCCAGTAGATATTTGGAGAGCTGTAAAAATGGAAATGCGCAATTCTTGCCTCAGATGAGCTTTCCTGCCATGTGAAATAAGACAGAAACAGGATCTATACTACACTACTATGAGTGAGATTGTGTGTCACTATTAAAAATAAGGGTCCCATTTGATAATCAGGCGTGTGTTTCTTGTGGCATATTCTTACAGTGGTTGGGATGAGACTGAGAAGCTCCAATGTGCAAGCCTAGCATTCGTGAAAAGCATATTCTGTTTTTATGAATTATTAAGTGATCTTGGGTACAGTCAAATGACTGGGGTTGCAAGTAAAAATTGAAATAAAAATTGAAAATTGAATTAGCTCATGCTGCTCTTGATTGCAGTGGTAAATGTCTGTTTTCCCGACACAAGCAACGTCTGCTGTAGATTTTAGAAAGTGGTATTTATATCAGTTCTGCATTTCTTTCCATCTGTAGAATGTTTATTAATCTTCTGTAATATGTGAACAAATGGTTATATAAATATTTGACTTTAAGAGCAAACCATCACTCTTGTTTCATGGATATTTTTAATGAATTGGAAATCATTGTGATTTTGTTTGTTTGTTAATGGAATTTAAGAATATTTTCGTATACACTCCAAAGTTTTGTGTTTTGTGTTCGAATTACAGCTTTCTGCTTCTATAAAATCATCATCTCATCAGAATATACATTGTACTGTTTTCAGAGTTGGTGGAAATACCGAAAAGAATCTAGTTGTAACATAGGTATCACATGCCCTAACTCCAGATTTCTTTAAAAAAGTATTAAAAGCATGAAGGATTTTTTACAACTGGAAGTTATGTTTCTAAATATCTTCCTCATCCAGTCTGGGCACTGAAAAGTTACATAAGAGCTTCATTTCATAGGTGAATCACAAGTGGCATTTTAAAAAATGGTGTTTTTCTTGTTACCTTGGGTCCTATAGATTTAATGAGTTTAAATTATTCCTTTGGCCTCTACCCGGGTGGGTAACCTAATTCTAATACCATGGTGAATGGTTACTGTGACTACCGTGTTGCTAAGAAACCTGTTATGTTATCAGGTTGCCTTGGTGAAGCAATGGCTTCTAGGGCCTCCTTAGCACTGAGGGGAGGTGGCTAATCGGAGATACAAGAGACCTGCATAGAATTTGTTTCCCAGGTTATAACTAATATTTCATCAGGAAGGGAACCAAACCTGGATCTGTTAAAGTTGACATAGAAGAAAGTCCCAAGTAATTTAAAATTAAATCAAACCTCTAGTTACTTTTTAAAAAGTTGTGACCCAAGATACAAAGCTGCTCTTACTAGTATTAGGTTAGAGAGCCATTTGTGTATTGAATGGTATGTATTTCTCTTTCTTCTTAACTTTGCATTCCGTTTTTGTTTCTTGGAGTGACTCTTGGCAGTGCCTTTACAATGTATGGATGATTGAATTGAGACTGTGAGGAAAAAAAAATGGGACATTATTTTTCTATTAAATGAGTTTGTAAGAAAACAAATGCTACACTACGTAGCCTTTTTTTTTTTTTTTCTTTTTTTTTTAAATATGCCAAGACCTGTTACTAGGTTAAGAATTCTGTTCAGGGCAAGGCCCTGGCTTTGGCTGGTTTTGCTGGTTTTGCTCCATGTCAAAAGGCTCTTAGATAATTTTGTCATCACTGCAGCTTCTTCGGGCCCCACAGCCCACAATCTCTTGTGGAAGGATCAGGGAAGCTTTGCCATAGGCTGTTCACTACCCGAGTGGGTAACTCTGGTTTCCTCTGTATTCTTTTCTTCTCATTCCCACATTTTCGTTGGGCTCATTATTAGCAAATCCAGTTCTGAGAGCCCTTGTTCTGCACTGTTGTGCAGCTGGAGAATGCCAAAGGAGCTCTTTGCCCTTTGCCACTAGCCTCCTCAGGGTAGTGGTGGTGCAGTCATAGGGCAGTGGCACGGGGTGGGGGAGGGGCTTGGACAGGGCAGCCACCCAGGACTGGGGACCAGGCACAAGCAGCTAAGAGCTCAGGCTTTGGACATCAGCCTGTCAGGGTTGTTTTGGGTCTTTGCCTCCGATTTTCTGAAATGAGTTTCATAATGACCCTAATCCTTAATTTCCTCCATGGTCAAAGAGGGATGATAAGTGTCTGCCTCAGAGGGTTGTGAGGATTAAATGAGATTATGTGAAATGCTTAGCATGATTTGTGGCACATGTTAGGAGCCTTCATAAATGTACAATGTTAATTATGGTTGCAGAGGACATTTTTAGGGGGCTGTGAGTTGTTCCTTCAAATCTGAAGACTTAGGTAGCTGGCATTTGACAAGCCCTCCGCCAATAAAAGCTTTTAATTGGTGGGGCGCCTGGGTGGCTCAGTTGGTTAGGCGGCTGCCTTCAGCTCAGGTCATGATCCCAGGGCCTGGGATCGAGCCCCACATCGGGCTCCTTGCTCAGCGGGG